CTAAAATCTTGGTTTAAAGAATTGCTACACGCATAGGAATGAAATACCTTGCAGTCTGCAACTCATCTGGCATCTCCCTAAAACCACAATACACCGTACACAGGAAAAGGGAAGGCGGAAACAAAAAAGTGAGCAGTCCAAATACTAGTGATATACTCACTGTGTTCAAAAGCAGGTGCAAAAAAATAAAGCCATCATTTTGTCTCCTTATACTTTTGATCAGCTCCAAAGAGATTTTTGTTTCTGTAGCATTCAGAAAACAAATTGTCAAAAGGCCTACGTGGTTTTGCAATGGGAAGTTCAGTCCTTTAGAAAAAACAGCCACCTTGGGTTTAGATTTCACAAAGGCTCCGTCTACGCTAGTAAATTAAACAGAGTCATCCCTTGGTTATAAGGCCAACTGGTAGTGACTCCTGACCTAGCCCAGGGTGATCTGGGAGGGTGCAGGTTAACCTGGGCCACAGGCGTGCTGGGGACCGCACAGCTCATTGCCTTCCAGTGCCAGGAAATGTTTCCTGGTGCCCCTTCATTTACCAGGAAAAAAAAAAAATCCTTCATTTGGGGGTACTGACAACCAAATGTACTCCAGTCTTTTCTGGCTTTGGGGCATCACATCCTGACTCGATCAGGATAAAGCCTTTTGCTGTGTGCAAAGAAGGTGCTGGACCTTGGCACCTTTCAAGGCCATCAGAGCCACATTGCTCAAGCTTGACATGCACTGTTGTACTGTTGTCTCCTGTCCACGCCTGGCAGATGTGGACAGGAAAACTCTCAGAAAACGCAACTGCTCATAATAAATGAGCTGATCTAAAACCAGACCTTTTGCCACAGATTAAGGTACACTGGATACAGGAGTCAACCATACCTTTGCAAAACAAAATCCGCAGTGGGCTTAGATGTTGTTTATCCAACACTGTCAAATACAGACCTTTGCCGTGATTTTCACCCTGAGTCGGCTGTCACCCCATTCATATATACTGAGGTCCATAAGGACTGGAAGAAGAAAGCTGATCCTTCTCAGTAAAATTTTCCAGCATGGAGTGGGCAAGTAATTGGCAAGATGGTTAATAATAATGAAAATAGTCCAAGGGTTTAGTCATTGCCAACAGGTAATGCCCCTGAGGAACAAGCTACTTGATGTTAGTGCTTACAGCTGGCTGAACGCTAGAGATGGGTTTTTTTCCTCAAAAATAGCATCCCTATTTACCACATTATTGTTAAGGAATGATTGCCGTTTCCATTGTAGCTGCTTTTCTGACTACATTAAAACATTGCTCAAGGCAGCTCTATAGCTGCACCTGTGCCCCAGAGTAAAGGCTAGACATGAAAAACCCTGGGAAAGTCATGTTCAAGGCAGCAAGGTATTGACACACGTCAGATGGGTTTGAGGTCTTATTTGTTTAACAGAGGAAAAACTATGATTTCTTAAAATTTAAATTTGGGATGCAGTTATTAGTTATCAAACAATGCGTACACCTCTTTTCATACAGAAAAATGTGTGCTTATGTCTGAAAGTATCTAAGGGGGCCAATGCAACTCACATGCCAAGCTGACCTTTTAAAGAGGTCTATTGGCATCTTTCAGAGAGGAAAAGCAGGCTTGGATATTGGTATGTTGTGGCTGGTTTTCTCCTCTGCACTTCTGAGTTTCTATGTTGATCATAACCAAACAGTGCCGGGCTGAGCTCACGCACAGTGGGACAGATTCGTACTGGGGACCCCCTCATACAACCATGTCAACGCTAACAGGTTAAAGAAGAGGCAGGCTCTGCTTGGTGCATTCCTGGAGGTGTTTTGCTGGGTTTGGGCTGTGGGCCAGCAGTGCACAAGCTGCTCCCTTGGCCATGCTGAGGCCCATCACAAAGGTGCTGACTGGTCAGAGGTGGGGGAGAGGCTGGTAGGGGAGATGAAGGCAGGAGAAACACCATGGCACCATGTGAAGCTGGGCCCCCAGGCTCATCTCTGCACCTGGTGCCAGTGTCGCCCACAGTGCCACGGCTGAGCTTTCTGAGCTTGAGTCATGGCTTCAGTGTTACTTAATTACAGGCCGCTGTGCTTAGTAATGTGATGTATGATGTGCCTCGTGCTATTCATACCCTGCAACCCGGCACAGAGAAGCTGGGCAGAGCCCAGGCTCCCCCCACGTGGGGGATGTCCTCACGGCATGCTCCTTCCAGGGCTCAACACCCAGAAGGGTTTTGCCAGCATTTGAGTGAGCGTCCCCACTGCCACACCCTAGTTATTTCACTCTCTCTCCATTGCTTTGGCAGCAAGCTCTAAAGTTTTTTTCGCAGATACCTGTGGGAGAATTTGTCTATCGGATGCCTTGGAAAGAACATGGTAAGTTCAAATGATTTTGGCCTGAAGATAATGTCTATACCACAGACTGCAGCACAGCGTGGCAGTGCTTGGGCTGGCTGCTGGGCACCAGAAGCAATGTAAGTGAAAAAAAACCCCGAGGTCTGCACAGAGCTACTCTGCCTTGGAGGTAGAGAAAAAGAGGTGGCAAGGCTGGGTCTACACTGTTCCCGTAGAGATACGCTGGGTCCTCCATGTGATACAGCTGGGCTAACATAAGGAAAGGAAAAATGTGTAAGGAAAAATGCAGATGTTCCACTCTTGGTCACAGAGGTGAATTGGGAGAGAAGGCACTAAACCATATTGCTACTAGACCAAAGTCTGGGACTGCCACACAGCACATGCAGAAGAGCAGCTGCACTGTGGTAACCAGCATTTTTCTGGGCTATTTTAAGACCTTTATCCTGAGTCAGCATCCAGGTGGTATACTGGTATGTTCAAATGTAGTAGCAGGGTTTATCAGATTATCTACAGCTCAGTTTGTGTGACACCCTGGCATATAAATGCATTTTTAAATTAAGAAAAATGCTATCAATAAGAACCCTATTAAACAGCAGATGATATATCAGGTATTTAAAAGTACATGTACTTCTGTGCTTTGAATAGTACAGGCTTATTATTTAAATACCAGGGAACTAGACTGACAAATACGAGGATTTAGAGTAGTTATGTTTTAAGCTTGGAAGGGACTGCGATGGTCAGAAATATCTTCCCAGCATCATAACAACATACTGAGCTGGCAGGCACAGACACGCGTACCGAGCTGGCACACACCTACCTGAATGCCTTCCCCACTCAGTGTAGGCTGGGAGAAAGGATAAGAGGGAAAAGAAACCTTATTTGCAAGTCTTGTCTCTTCCTCTGGAGATAAATATTTCCCGTGTGAAGGCTGTGGCACCCACGTAAAGCCGGCAGCAAACACTGGGGGTGTACAGCTTTGCTGTCAGCTGGGCAAAGCTCGCTCTTACTGACGGCTGCTCTTCATGGGCTGGTTTCCATATGCCTTTAGCTGTCACCAGAGACTGTGTGCCACTAAATGACTGCCAGCCAGGGGTTGGTGGCAGTCACCACCAGCAATATGCAAGATGTAGGTGGCCTCTGCTTATGCTCAGGAGGCTCAGATAGGCTACAGTAGCCATAGGGTAACTAATAGTTAAATCAGACAAAGAATACTTAAGTACCTGGAAAATGATGGTGAAATTCCTGTCTAATTGGTCTATGGCAGACATCCTTGAATCATCTCCATTTAGAGTAAATTTTGTTGTGCAGGTCTTTTTTCTACCCAGAAGTTTTTAAGCATAACTATGACCAAGATTCTCCTTAAAATCTCACAGCTAGAGCTAGCTGAAATTTGGCTAAGGAGCCAAAAGAAGTGGAAGAGGAATTTGGAAGAAGAAGATTATATCTCCACTTTCCATTTTCTTCCAGCCCTCTAGTCCCATCAGCTCAAGAGGTGCCAACTCTTTTAACAGAAGAATTTACAAAGGGCTCTCTTGTTCTTGAACATTTTGATGTGCCTGAAGTGAATTTCTGCACTTTAAACAGATGCATTTGCACCTTCACTGCAATGGGAAAAGCCTAATGACATTCTGGTGCCTGATGGCATTTGTAGGTTTTCCAAGGAAATAAGAGCAATATTTTGCAAAAGGCACTTTATACATCTGTTCTCCCCTTTATACTTCATAAGAAGTAGGGAGACAGAGCTATTTTTCTGATCGTCTGCTTTTGTATAGTGAAGATATTCTTTAATATAAAAACTATTATTTAATGGGTATATCAGAAAGTTCAAGAAAAAATATTTGAAACAAATTCATTTAACATATACATCAATGTTTTAGACTTAAGAGGACACTGTCAACTTGTCATTGGGGAATTAAAATAAACATCCACAGTACGAGCTTTAGATACAAGGTTTTGCTCATGGACATTGCTGGATGCACCAGTCATTTTACATTTGCTTAATTTTGTCTTTCTCATGTTCTTGTGTGAGCACAAGATAAAACCTATCCTGATTACATCGGGGAAAAACTTAACCAGGCAAAATGCTATCAAGCACAGAGAGACCACAAGAGAGGAGAACATGTGTCTCCAATCACCACTCAGGCGAAAAACACATTTCAGTCAAAATGAGTTCTGTGGGTTTTTTAATATCCTTTAAAAAGGGGTAACTATTACAGGATTATTACCCCACTACATTACCTTTTGTCTAGTCATTCACACCTGTGAAAATTGAATGCAAAACCACATGACTTCACAACATTTGGGAAAGTGGAGAAACATGTACGAAGTATCTTCAGGGTTAAACTGGATAATGATCCTGTTCATGTAAAAAAGGCCAGATTTTCCTTTCGCTTAGGCTAGTGTAAACTGAAGAAGTATTTTCCAGGCAGTATGCTATGACTTCTTCTAATTTATCTTATTTTGCTTAGACGCAGTTATCTTTGATAACCAATAGGCTTATACCAATATAAAGCATTACAGAAGAATCATTTTCCTTTAAACTAGTGCATGGAAAGTTAAAAAAAACCCTACTTTTGTATTCTGCAAAGAAAGGCACAGATTTACACGTACTTAGAAACTACCACTCAGAGATGGCAGGTGGCAAAGCAAGCCAAACAACACAAACACTTCCATAAGCAAGAGTGAAACGTGGTCATTTGGGAATTTATTTTTTGGCAAAACACTGTGAAGCATGGCTGGGGAATGCTGTATTTTGAAAGGTGAAAGGGCAACAGGATGCATCTTTTTTCTAATCTATAATGGCTGATGTTTGGGGTTTTCTTCTTATAAAAAACCCCATACAAACGCAGTCCCTGCCCACGACATACTCAAGTCACTGCTTCATTTTACTTTTTCTTTCCCTCCAAGGCAGATGGATGGGGATGAACACGAAGAAAACAGCAGATTACTTCTAACAGACGCAGCATCCTCAAGGCAGAGCACACCCTCCTCAATACTGACGCTGGTTTAGAGGGCCAGGCAAGAAGGGGACGTGCTCTGAGTCCTGCCAGCTACTCTGTCACCAGTCTGCCACCTCCTCCCGGCTGCACACCACACCGGCATCCTCCTCGTGGGAGCAGTTGTGCGTGCCAACGTCAGCGTGGTCACACTCCAGCAGTGTCTTCTCCTGCCCGGAGCACTGGACGTCATCCAGGAGAATGCGAAGCGAGGTCCCTTCCCCAAATTCTGCCTTCTTGCTGGCCCGCACCACGTAGGGGAAGCCCAGCTGGCGGCACACCACAGTGGCGGCGGGCAAGCTCCAGCCATCGTCGCACACCGTGCCCCACTCGCCGTCGATGTAAACCTCCACCCGGCCCTGGTTCTGGCCACGGCCCCGCTGCTCCATCAGCCGCACGGCACCATTTTGCAGCGGCAGGGCCGTGCCGGGGGGTTTCTTCTTCCTGCGCTGCCCCCTCCTCTTTCCTCCCTTCCTGGGCTTGGGGGTCCTGCCGCTCGGCGCTGGGGTGGTGGGTGTCCTGCTCCGGTTCCCTGGCGGCAGCAGGGCTTGGCCCACCCAGTCCACAGCTGGCGCACGGGTGGTTTCGAGGTCTGGCCTGCCTCCCCATGGGGCCTCGGTCATGGCCTTCAGCTGGGGACGCGGCGTTGGTGTTTTCACAATAAGCTCTGTTGGGGGAAAAACCCAGGAAACCATGAGTCTGTCACTCTACAGACACTACTTAAAGACAACTGTACGAAACCAGTGCTGATTTTTGACTTATTTAACTCGTTTCTTGGAATTTGCTTACTTGATCCTGTTGAGAAGCAACAACGCTCCCAGTGAGCCAATATTTCCTCAGCGAAAAATGTCGGCTGCTTTTGGTTAGCAGAGAGGACTGCAGGGTTTAATGCCAACTAGTAAGCCTCTCCCAAGAAGCGAACTCCAAGCAGTTTATTGGCAAAACCTCACCCTGGCCATTAAAGGGTGGGCGCTGGAGTTTCACGGTCAGAAGAGGAGTTCCCCACTGTACCCTTCTCCCCCGCTGAAAGCATTTTAAAGACAGGCACTATTTCTGCTCTTCTCTTCATTAGTAATGATTGGATCGTTACCAGACCGAGAGCGCCGGCCTCCCCACTGGGCCAGATGCTTTATTCAGAGGCGCTGAAATCAGGAACATTCAAAATCAATTCTCTCTGGCAACTGGAATGTGCAAAAGGAACAGAGTTGCCAGGACAACACATAAAACAGGATTTGGGTTTGTTTTTTTTCTTCCTTATGAAAAAAAATAAAAAAGCCTTGAACTCTGAAAAGCTTAAAATTCTTTGCTGTCACAGTTTCCAGGCGTTACTGGACTTTCTTATTCACATGCGCTCTATTTTTAGCTTAAAAGTAAGTTTTAGCTTGTCAGAAGGAAGCAATTCAGAATTACTCAGAATAACCATCTACTGAGCTGGGACAGTGTCACGTACATTTGCAAAGACATCACAACTTTTTGAATTATATCCTAGATTTATCCATTCTCATTCATCATTTGCTTTGTAGTACAGAGATGAGGGAAAATATGACTGTCTTATTTGTGCTTAACATCTATTGTCCCCAAAAGACAAACCCTTGCAGCGGTCCAGTTTTTCCACATAATGCTCTTTGGAGAGGAATTGTATTTGTGGCATGAAAATATTTCCCTTCTTTGGAAGCTGAAGTTCTGAAGGCAAGAAACAAATGTGAAAGCCTTACCTGTGCACACCTCAGCTGCTGGAGCCTGATCTGGCAAAGCACTTAAAAATCCTGGAACTCATATAATGATATGTAGGACTGCATGAAAGCTAATGGCCACCTGGGAGTGCTTTTCACCTCACTGAATCAAGTTGTTACTATGTATTACTCTTCCTCAAGCTATTTATTAAATCCACTTCCAACAAATGCACCCATCCAGCTAATGCAAGCCGCATGCCTTGGCGATTCTGTTACATTCGCACTAAACACTAACCAAAACAGCAAAATATTTACGGCTACACGTCCTGTTTGCGGGCTCCGGAATCAAAATCTGCATGCTTGGTTTTCACCTACACATGAACTTAGTTCTTGAGACACTTAGCAGAATCTCTCCCACTGTTTCTAAGTTTTATTTTATGATGAAAACTACCTTGTAAACAAACCAAAAAGATTTATTTATATGTGTACTTTAAAAATCTGAACTTTGGACTTGCATAGAGAACAATGCATAAGAAGAAACAGAGACAAAGCTGGTTGAACATGAACCAAGTTACTAATGTTTGGAAACTGCGCGCACAGCTTGCAAAGGAGAATGTTTCCGAAGACGTGCTGAGGGCTCGGGCATGTCAACAGTTAATAATTAGCCTTAGATCTTGTTCCACCTTAAAGACTCAATCTTGTAAAGTGCTGAGTGCCCTCATTCCTCCCTGAAGTCAAAGCTGTAGGAACTGTCAATGACTCAAATGCAGTGTAACACAATTAATGTAATTAAAAATTAGAGTATTCTGACATTAGAGTTCCTACAATAATATTAACTTCATGGCAAAGTTGTTAGAGTACTGCCTAGGTACTTACATGTGTAAACAAAATGCACAGAGGAAAAGAAAGGTGATGGTGCCTAATCTAATTTTGAGATCCTAATAGCGTATTTAGGGTTTTGCATTTAACATAAACAGTACTTGGCTTGCTGCAAACTCAGCCACATCCTTGACTGCTCCAGCTTTAGCAGTTCAATACTTCATTCAGTATGAAGCAATCAAAAAGCCCTGGAGGGTTTGGATAAGCCAAAAGTTCACCCGAATGGCTGATTCTTTTGGGAGCATTTTCTCATCCCATATTCTCTCACTTACAACTAACAATGACTCAGCCCTCATCTTGCTCAATGAGCTATTTCCCAACCCTTTAGCCATCATATCCTTCGGCTCCTGAAGTGCCCCTCACTACCTGAAGACACTGCAAAAAATCACTTCTCACTGAAAAGCACCATCGAGCACAGGATCTCAGTACAGAAACAGTTATGGGGAAACCAAGTTGGTGGCAGTGAAACAGGTACGATGTAGCATGGAAAAGGGAAAATGTACAGGGGCAGAAACTACAGAGAAGATTTCACGTGGCCAGGAGAGGAGAAATACCTTATGCCTTATTTGAACCAACTCTTCAGATCCAAAACAGCTGATAAGAATTAACTTTGAGGATACTCTGAAGAGTGAAGTTCTGGGTGGTCTCCACGCATAGAGAGATAGCACGAGCCTGGAGTTTATATTTACTGCCAGCTAACATGCACCAATAATAAACAGCAACAGTGACACTTACTCTCCTTTGGCACAAACGCGATGCGCTTGCTTTTTACTTTCACTGGCGATGGGTCAACTCGGCATTTTCCTGGTGGTGCTCTCCTGCGAAAAAAGGGACACACAGTGTACAATTAATTCCTTTCCCCTGGCATCGTGAGCCTTTGCTTCCCATTGTTTTTCAATGAATGTAATGCTCACTGGAAAAAAAAATGTCTGTTTAAATGATCCAAGTAATCCCTTACAGTAGAAAACATAATTAAACAATCACATATCTCTGTTGATTGAAGTCCAAGTATTCACAAGGCAGTGGAGTCCTCTGGCTGTGTTTTCACTTGCTATTGCTGAATCCATTAAGGAAATAAAACATTGGCAGGTTCAAGCATTACAGAAAGAGATTAATCAAATTGAAAATAAAAATCACTAAACTAGACAGTATATGTTGAACATCTGACATAAAGGTCATGTGTACGCAAGTTTTCAGGCTGTCTTCAGAGAAGCAAAATAGCACACTATTATTCGTACATAAAGCCCAAACAAAAGGCTAACTACTACAAAAGTAGTACCAAAAATGCATTAGTTTCAAACGAGCTCTAAGTGTCTCCTACAGAGGCTTCCTCTTAGCACAACACATTATTTTGACACAAATTTGTTTGCCATGGAGGTATATCTCACTTCTGAGAAGTTACATCCAGCTCATCATCACTTTTTCCTATGCTGGCTGGCTTGTTAATCTGCAGCCTTCTACAGAGGTTTTCAAACTGGTTCAAAATGCATGATGTTTGCATTTGGAGGGTATAACTCATTTGTCGTTAGGATTGTTTGTATTTGCATTTCTGTGGAAGGCGAAGAGCTCCCCTCTCAACTACTGCCACAGGGACGTTCCCCACTTTTATGAATTTTCCTATGAGTTCTTTCTTATTCATATTTCCGTACTAGACACACTAGAGAAACTTCTTTTTAAACTTAAACTTACGACTTTCTTTTGAATTCTACTTGCTTTATTTTTGGAAAGGTTGCATAATACCAACCTCTTAATACACAGTTTACAGGAACGCTTCCACTGTCTTAGATAATGGAAAATGCTCCTGACAGAGGAGGAGTCAGAGGAAAACAAGCGGCAGCTCTGGGGGCTGTTTAACTTTGGGGTCTGGTTCCAACATAAAACAGAAAATTGTTTTGTTTCAAAATGCTCAGATAGCTAAAGCTGTAAATGTAATCCTTTTAAAAATATAAAAGCTACAAAAGTTTCACTCTACATGTCTGGCTGAAAGTATTTTGGTGTTTTGCCAATAATAGTAATGCTTAAAAAACAAGAAGATGGAAAAAACAGCTATAGGTCTTCCCATAAAACACAACTATTCCCTGCCTTGCCCAGTCTGAAGATATGTGCACATGGGATCCAGAAGGTGTACCAATGGTGTTATTTCCTTGTGCAAACCATTTTCGTCTTTGAAACACAAAAAAGAATGTACTTTTTGACTTTTGTTTCTGGTTTGCCCGAGAAAGCACTGCAGGTCGCGCTGGGTCAGCTTTGGCTGCAGCTGCCTAGGCACGGGGCCCTTAGGGGAGATGCAGCTGGCTACAGGGGATGGAGAGGAACTGAGAATAAACACCTTGAGAAAAACTGCCTCTTTCTGGGTAGGAATCTAGAGAAACTTTGCCTGAGAAAGACAAGCCACCCATAAAATACTCCTTTAGCTTTCAGGAACAAATCTCCCAACCCACATAGCACCAACAGGCCCCATAACAAGTTGATGATCACCAGGCGGCGTAGACTCCCACAGCTACAGGAGTAAAGCAAACTCACAACGCGTTGCTCCAGCTGTTCCTTGATCAAGCTCCACAGAAGGGCCCAGCATGGAAGAAGAGCTAGTCAGTCAGCATCATTCATCACATCCACACCTGGACACACTGCACCACACTCAGGCTTTGCAACAAGAACATCTCATACCTAGAGGTGTCCACCACTTTGTACACCACTCCATGGGGAGCCGTGGCACTTGGTATGCCGGTAGACATAAAGTAAAGTTCCCCTGGGAAAAAAAACAAACACAGCCATGAAAACTCTCCATGGAGCTTCTGCCCTGTACAGCACAGAGGCATTAACTCTGCATCACAGGTCAGAGAGCATCAGGAAACCTGGGACCAGCGTGGAGATCTGGCTACTGGAGGAAACAAGGCAGGTTTATATTTGGGTTTGTAGTGAGAGTTCATCTGCAGTCCAGTGGCATAAAATACTCTTAGTGAATGGGAGCTTTTACATATTGTCATGAAATATTATTTGGAAAAATTTCCCCTGCAGGTTCAGCTGCCCAGACTTTAGCTGTCATCTCAGTCTGATCAGTGTCCTTTAACTTCTCTAATGCAAAACAGTCAAACCCTGAATTCCCTTTGTCAAAACAAAGTTAAAGGAAATTAAGAATGTTCGCACTGTCTCCTGCTCTTTTGGATGAAGCACTCTCGGGATGAATTACAGAAGAACAAGATTTTGCTTTTGCTTTCTCTAGCACACTCACAAAGTGAGATGTATCTCACACGAAAGGCATTTGGTTTGTCACAGCTCTGTCAGGTCACATGGATAGGGCTTGACCTTCAGCCAAACAATGTCCATCACTATTTATCTGACTTATTTTCTCTTAATTGCATTTCCATCCTTCTCCTGTTGTGCAGGGGAAGCTGGGATAAACAGTCCCTCCGGCACTCTCCTTTCTCTTTTGCCAGCTCAAGTGCTTGAGCGGTGCAATGAAAAGGATCGGAGAGAAAAAATAAATTTGCAATATTTCAAAAAAAAAAAGAAAAAGAGGCAAGAAAAAGAGGCAACTGAGACCTGCTTAGTGAGTAAGGCAGATTTCTTTGGGCATCCTATGGGTACCCCAAGGGGAAGAAAGGAAGGAGCAGAGGGGTCAGAGTGAGCAAAGGAAGATGTGGGCAGTCGGTGGCAGCTCCTGCTGGCTGCTGAGCCTCCCTCCTCCTCCCTGCTCTCCTGCGCTGCCCTGGCTGAGCTCCTCTGGATGCTCCCAGGGCAGAAACCAGCCACCCCTGGCCACCCCCGGCTTGTTTGTTCCTTTTTCTGGTGGGCTCCATTAACCACAGGCCAGAGGCAGCCTTGATCCAAACAGGGATGGGAAACACCTGGCACTGCATCTTGCGGTGCAGTGATGTGTGCTTCACATCCCACCCTTCTTTCCCGGAAATTATCCGGCAGAAATATGGATGCTCAGGCCATGAAGCACACAGGCTATATCACATGTGCACCCTACAGACATAGCACAGTGCCTGGGGTGTCCCCGACAAGTTCAGCTGCCAGGGGATGGGGCTGCTGGCTTTATAATGGCTGTGCAATGAGCCAAAAATATAGGTGTCCCCACCGCGTAAACACATCCACCGCACCAGCCAGATTAACATTCATCAGAGCAACAACCCCAAAAACCAAATGCTTCCATGAAGAAAAGCTTGTTAAAATAAACTGTGTGATAAACTTGTAAAAAAACAGACTCGCAGCACACCAAAAAAGTGAAAGAGACGACTGTTCACGGCAGATAAAGAAAACTCACTAAACTGTTATCAACAGATTTCTTTCCATTATAATAAAGCAAACATAAGGCAAATAACTACTTCTGAGAACTGACTCCAGCCCAAATTTCCACCCAGCTCTATTATACTTATGCAAAGTACGTGTGAAAGCATGGGGCAGAAGAGGGGCGGCAGCATTTCACCCCCCCTTTGCAAAGACTCTGCCCACAGGTGCAGGAGGAGGGAGATGCCGCTTCCTGGGTACATGAACAAGGGCTGTAATTAACAGCTTGATACTGCACTTGGCAGCTCTCTGCCTTGGCATAAAGCTGATTAAACCAAGTTCTTCTGATTTTAGGGTAAGATATCCTTCTCGCCACAGCACTGCAAAATAGCTCTACCTTCCATGAACATTAACCATTAAAGAAAATGGATTTTAACTCCAAAAAAGATAAAATTCCAAAGTCAAACTTTTGAGCTAATACTTAATTTGGATGATTTGCATTAACATGATAAAATTTGCATTTATATGATCTGCCACGCATGTTGCATTTGTGCAACATCCACACCTGACATAATCTGCAGGAAAAACAGAAGTTTAAAAATTGGGGCATTCTGGAAGCGGGTGCTTGTGACCACAAGCCAGGACCTCCCCACAACAGGGCAGAACACAAACTCCTGCATTGCCAAGTTGCACATGAGGCTACTTAGCATTGCTGAGTCCTCCTCTCCCTGTCCCCAGCCAGGAGCTACGTGCTCTGCTGTGGGGCTGGGCAATTAACCATATCCTTGTACAAACAAGGTAGCGACCACCAGCTTTCACCCCAGGACTCTTTATTTCCTCCTTTTCAAATTGCAGCACCTCCCTCCTAGAAAGCAAAATGTCTCCAGTCTTAAAAACACAGCTATGCAAAGCTTCACTGAGACTACATCCTTCAGTCCTATGCAAGGCAAAATCCTAGCTGGCATTAATAAAATATGGACTTAAACAGCCTTTTGCTGATGCCTCACTCGAGACATAACGTAGGGCTTTCATTCTGCTTCACCTCGAGACATACAAATATTCCAGGCCAAGGTGAGCAGGTTCGTAATTACTGTTCATTACATCTGCTTCCCTGCATCCATTAATAACACCAACAGCCTTCTTGACTAGCCAAGAGTATAGACTTACTCTCACTTGGGTATCAGTTTCTCAGCCTCTCAGGACCTGCATTCCCCACGGCACGGCACTGTGAAGAATGGGGTCTCTATTCTAATTGTATTTGCCTTCTGCTGTTCCACATCCCTCCAGACCATAGGTGTGCAGGCAGCAGCACACCCAGACTCAGTCTTTCCGGGAACTGCCTCTCCAATTCCCCCTGCAGTCACCGTGCGGCACGCTGGCCACTGGAGGAGGTGCCTCAAAATTAGGACTGTGACTTCAGTTTGATATTTGGGAGATGTTGGGAATCTCACCCACCAGCATTTTAAAGACTGACAGACTCACGCTCTGCCTCTCCACCACCCGCTGCCTCTCAGGAGCCCCCTCTGACCCCTTCTCTGGTGTTTTAATCCAAAGAGGAACAACAAGCATGCCGTTCGGTGCGATATAAAGCTAAAAGATTACCTGCTTCATCTTCAGCAAAAGAGATGATGTATTGATAATAGTTATTGATAAGCCCAGGGAACATGCACGTTTGTCCCGTCCCCATGCAGATTTCACTGTACTGCCATTCTCCGGTAGCACGATCCTCCTTCAAAGACATCAGGCGTCTGCAAGGCAAAAAAGCACTTGCACCAAGCAACCAAGAAGAAGATTTATGAACATTAATCAGGACACCTGAAAGGATGTTTAATGCTTCCTACCTGCATTAGCTACTATAGGAAGTGTAGCTCCTCCGAGAAACGAAAGATTGTTAATATTAAACCACATATATTATACACCCCTGCAACACTTTATCTTTCAGGGGCAAAACAAGCACAAGAAAAAATTACATGGGAGGGTTTAAGGGATGTCAGACTGGGGGGACCTTGCCAGAGATGCATAGCACTTGGCTTCCCCGTAGCTCTGTGGCCACTCTCCTGTGCCCACAACCAGTGCATCAGCCGGGGCAGGCGGTGCGGGGGCTGCGCGCGAGCGGCCTGGGAGATGCAGATACAGCAAAGGCAGAGGAGGTGGGGGGAAAACAAGGCAGTCTCATGCCTGCCTCATCACAGGTTTGCAGCAGACTCACTGGCGGACAATATTTTTTTTTCTTTCAATATCTTCGATGTCTGGAAATGTTGCATCAGAGTGGGGTTTTTTTTAGGATGCATTCAAATGCTTTTTTACACCACTTCCAGGACTCTAAATGAACTTCATATCTTTGCCCCTTTATTTGTACTGGCACAATATGAATCAGCAACATT